GGGAAATTTTTGGCCGAAAAATCCATCACAATATCAGACTCTTCTCAGCTTGCAATCCATATCGATTACGGCTAAAAAGTGACACACAAGCAGGTCTTTTGGCAAAAAGATATGAGGAGCATAGCAATTTAGCTTACCAAGTTCATCCACTTCCTGACCAAATCCTGGATTACGTTTGGGATTATGGTGTATTAAAACCATCAGATGAAAAAATCTATATTAATATTATGGTTAAGAAATATTTGGAGGAAGAAAGATTAACATCCAAATTATTCTCTGAATTGTTATTTGCTTCACAAGAATTTATTCGATCTCATGAAGGTGCTCATAGTGTTAGTTTACGAGATGTAAAACGTGCTATTACTCTTGTTAAACATTTTCACAAGACACTAATTAAACGTCCACGTCCTAATCCACGTCCTCATCGTTCCTACCCTCAATATCCTTCTCCACTTCATGGAATGGAAAAAGAGGTTGGAATTGTCGTCCGGTCTTATATCCTAGCTCTATATCTTAGTTATCAAGTCAGACTATTTGATCAAACATTACGTACACAATATCGCGAAAAAATATGCAAAATATTTAATGAATTCAAGACAATAAAAATAACACGGGACATGACAGAAGAGATTTTTATAAGAATTATTAAAGAGGAACAGAAAGATTATATAATTAGGATGACAAAACCACCACAAACTGCAGAGAACGATGCGTTGCTTGAGAATGTGCTCGTAATGATTGTTTGTATATTTACCAAAATTCCCGTATTTATTATTGGTGCACCTGGGTAAGTTATACAATTCTATAAATTCTATTACTGTTTATGGCAACAATATTGCGTGAAGAAGTTAATGTATATCTAAACATATAAAATTAGGGCTTCAAAATCATTAGCAATTCGTTTAATTAGCCAGAACCTTCGCGGTGCTGATTCAGATGATCCGTATTTTAAGACATTGCCGCAAGTACGAAAACATGAAAAAGTTATAATAGCATTTTCAAATTTGATTAATTATTTGCATTATCATTACTTCAGATTTATATTATTCCATACCAAGGCTCGTCTTCATCCACTTCTGACGGTATTATTAAGGTCTTCAAAAAAGCACAAAATTATCAGACGACTAGTTCTAAGGAATATCCTCTAAATACCGTAGTTCTACTTGATGAAGGCATTTAAATTAAATTTAATTTAGTAATTTAAATTTATAGAATTATGATTTTATTTATTTATTTGTTCCGTAAATTTTTTAGTTGGATTGGCCGAGACAAGTCCACATAATCCATTGAAAGTTCTGCATTCTTTGCTTGAACCAAGTTATCCAGCCGAATATCCGAATGTTTCAGTTGTTGGTATAAGTAATTGGAGATTAGATAATTCGAAATCAAGTAGAGCGTTGCTGGTGCAAAGGTTAGTAATTAAACATATGTGTAGATTTCACTTAATATTTTAATCTTATTCTAAAGATATTTGTGTAATTAGGCCTAAGTTTGAAGAACAAGATTTAATTGATACAGCAGATAGATTATTTGAAAATAATAAAGCATGGTCAAAACGTTTTAATTTTCTTAGTTTTAATTTTAAGAAAGCAAAACTGGAGGCATTGGCTAACTCTTATTTAGAGTATGAAAAAAAACAACCTATTGATAATTTTCATGGACTTCGAGATTATTATTCGTTGGTAAAAAGTCTTGGCTGTAGTGAGGTATTACACCTATCAAAAAGTTGTTTTTCTTTTTCATTCTTTACAAGATTTATCTTTTATTAAAATTTAAATTATAGCTTACACCCGAATCCATAAAAATGGCACTAGCAAGGAATTTTGGTGGAACAAACCAAATGGACAAATTGTATGATGAGCATTTTGTCAATGTTTTAAAAGCATTTAATGCGACCAATCAAAATCAAATTCAATTTTCTGCTGAAGACCTTATCAAAGCAAACCTTAAAGATAAGAATGCTAGGCATCTAATGTTAATTGGTAAAAGTGATTCCATTGTCAATATTTTGACATATAAATTGAGATATTGGAATGAGGAGCTTTCGGAAAGAAACGACCTTGATGCTATTGATAATGTGACATCTTGGGATCTAGAACCTGTAGTAATTTATGGAAGTCAGTTTCCTGACGATCGTGATGACGATTATCAATATGGAGTATTGAGTCGTATTATGG